GATATGATCTCCATGTATAATACATAAGGGGGATATGATCTCCATGTATAATACATAAGAGGGGATATGATCTCCATGTACAATACATAAGGGGGATATGATCTCCATGTACAATACATAAGGGGGGATATGATCTCCATGTATAATACATAAGGGGGGGATATGATCTCCAAGTATAATACATAAGGAGGGGATATGATCTCCATGTATAATACATAAGGGGGGATATGATCTCTATGTATAATACATGAGGGGGGATATGATATCCATGTATAATACATGAGGGGGGATATGATATCCATGTATAATACATAAGGGGGGGATATGATCTCCATGTATAATACATAAGGGGGGATATGATCTCCATGTATAATACATAAGGGGGGATATGATCTCCATGTATAATACATAAGGGGGGATATGATCTCCATGTATAATACATAAGGGGGATATGATCTCCATGTATAATACATAAGGGGGGATATGATCACCATGTATAATACATAAGGGGGGGATATGATCTCCATGTATAATACATAAGGGGGGATATGATCTCCATGTATAATACATAAGGGGGGATATGATCTCCATGTATAATACATAAGGGGGATATGATCTCCATGTATAATACATAAGGGGGGATATGATCACCATGTATAATACATAAGGGGGGATATGATCTCCATGTATAATACATAAGGGGGGATATGATCTCCATGTATAATACATAAGGGGGGATATGATCTCCATGTATAATACATCAGTGGTTCATATAGTGAACTCGGTGTAGAGTTATTCCCCCTGAGGTCATCACAGAGGACAAGGGGGCACTCTTTACATCTGGAGGAAAAGAGATTTAATCTCCAAACATGGAAAGGTTTCTTCACAGTGAGAGCTGTGAGAATGTGGAATAGACTCCCTCAAGAGTTGGTTCTGGCCAGGTCAGTGGATTGCTGTAGGAAAGTCCTGGATTCTTTCTTGGATACACAGAATTATAACTGGATATAACATTTATAGGTAAAGTTGATCCAAGGAATATCTGATTGCCTCTCGGGGGATCAGGAAGGAATGTTTTCCCTGCAGGAGCAAATTGGATCATGTTTTGCTGAGTTTTTTTGCCTTCCTCTGGATCCACTGTGGGTGTAGGATTATAACTTTTTTTTTCTAATGGTTGAACTGGATGGACTTTTGTCTTTTTTCAGCCAGACTAACTATGTAACTTACTGAGCTTATGGTGTTGTCATCCTAGGACAGGAAATGTGTTTTAGACTGCAGAAATCAATTACCTTTCCACATCTCCATGTCCTGTAGTCCTAAGATACTTCCTGCAAACAGATATAAATCTAGATATGGCCCAATCACACTGCCCACATGGTAAACACTCCATTGTAGCAAGCAGGAAGCTGTCAGTTGTGGGCTGCAGTGAAGCCAGCACGGGGCAGCAAGATTAGCATTTTAACACAACAAAGTTTCCTTTTTTTTTTTTTTGAAGTGAATAAAGCGTCACTTCATGTCACTGCAAGCACAGCATGGTGAGTTGCACTGCTGTACAGTGACATGCAGTGCCTTCCTGTGAGCTGCAAAGCAGCATGTCTGCATTTTATCGCAGGTCACTGTATCACCCCTGTGGGCTGTGTTGCTGTGAAAACAAACAACTGTTTTCTAGGTGCCCTAGTGGTGACTGATGTTCTTCCATGTGTGAACGAGCCAATCAGCATGCAGAATGCACTGGACAGCACTAGATTTCTTGGATGAGTAAAGAATATGTAAACCCAGCATTTCATATTCCTGATATGTGCCTGCTGTAGCATGTACTTGTAGGAAAAAGTCTCCTGTTCTCTTTGTATTGCTTCCTTTGTGTGAAATCCCTGGTGTTCCTGCCAGTCCCTCTGCTTTCCTATTAAAACCGTCCACACTAGGCATGGGAGCCCAGCAAGGTCAGTTCTCTACTGTGCTCTCCTCCAATGATCAGACTTGTCCTGAGCCCTCCCCCATCGCTTTCTGCACTGCTCAAAAATGAACACAGTTTTGAAACTTTGATATGTGTAAGGTTTGGTTCACATCTGTGTGGGTGGTGCCCCTGCGGGGCCCCCCACAAATACCTGTACCCCCGCACCACCCACACAGAGGAATGCGGGACCAGTGGGCGGCTGTCATTATTTCTAATGGCACGCCGCCCGCACTGGAAATCACAACCGTACTGAGATCCTCGGTTCCTGTGCGGGCTACGATTTCCGAAGAGGTGCAGGGACTACTTCCCTGTATGTCCCGGGGCATGGGAGTCCATTCAAACAAATTGACTCTCGTGACCGTGCAAATCGCGGCCTGGCATAAAGCTTGCCATACATTATACAACTTTCCTTTAGATTTATTAACCACTTCCAGTCCGGACACTTTCGCCCCCTTCCTGCCCAGGGCAATTTTCAGCTTTCAGCGCTATCACACTTTGAATGACAATTGCGCGGTCATGCAACACTGTACCCATATGAATTTTTTACAGACAGATAAAGCTTTATTTTCATTGTATTTATTCACTGCTGGGATTTTTATTTTTTTTTGCTATGTAAAAGAAAAAGTCCAAACATTTTGAAAAAAGTGTTTTTCTTATAAAATTTTGCAAATAAATAATATTTCATCATAAAATTTATTCCGTTATCTTTTTAGTAAAAAAAAAATAAAATAAGCAAAAATTAGTTCATAACCAAAAACTATAATTTTTAAACTTTTTTTTACATTTTTATTTTATTTTTTTTATATTATTTATGTTTTTTTTTTTTTTTTTTTTACATACTGTCATCCTAGCAGTACAGTGTCACCATGGTATTACGTATGTAATAAGTGCAATATGAACGTATGCAATAAAATATATATGAATAAAAGTTTTAAGCATAAAACTGAGTAATTATTGATTTACAAAGTGCAAATATTGTGAGGATATATCATTCCGCAATCTAGGGCTAATAAAGTGATAATAGTGTGCACATAAAAGTGCTAAAATATAAAAAATCCAATAAAATAAACAAATGAATGTCCACAAAGTGCTATATGTGTAGACCCATCCAAGAATGATCTTAAGGTAAGTGCTTCGTATACTGTAACAATCACTCGGTGATGTGCCAGGAATGTGTTAAGATTACGCACTCACCAGATGCGTAACCATATTTTAGCACTTTGATGCGCACACTATTATCACTTTATTAGCACTAGATTGCGGAATGATATATTAGCACAATATTTGCACTTTGTCACTTTATGTTTGAAAATCAATAATTACTCAATTTTATGCTGAAAACGTTTATTCATATATAATTATTACATACGTTCACATTATATTTGAAAATGTTGGTCTTGAATACTATAGCGCTGCACCTATACTCTATCATCTATATAGATCTCTTTAACCATCTCTGGTACTACTATCGGGGGACCTTTCATTTTCAAGAATTTTTCTGAAGTTTTAAACTCATACCATTTACCCCAAATCTTTCTAAACTTTTCCATGTAATCTTTCTCCATGTAACAAAGTTCCTCCATCCTACGAACATATTCTACTCTGTCCACCCAATCCCTCATTGTTGATGGATCCTGGGCCTTCCAGGGATTAAACCCTTTGCCGCACCAATCAGATGAAATAATAAACTGTTTTTAAATTGTTTTACCGACAACTTTGTTCTATAGAAAAGACATACCCATGGATCCTTCTGGATAGATGTCCCCCAAATCTCCTGTATATGAGAAATTATCTCCTGCCAATAAAACTGAATTGTTGGGAATTCCCACCATATATGAGCCATTGTCCCTATTGCCCCACATCCTCTCCAACATAAAGGTGATACTTCTTCTCTCTGTTTATGTGCCACACTCGGTGTACAATACCATCTAGGGCAGTGCTTCTCAACCTTCCTAATGCCGTGACCCTTTAATACAGTTCCTCATGTTGTGGTGACCCCCAACCATAAAATTATTTTCGTTGCTACTTCATAACTGTAATTTTGCAGTGGGAGGAATAGTGCCACATCACTGATGTCAGTGAGAGGAGTAGTGTCCCATCTTTGGTATCAGTGGGAGGAATAGTGCCCCATCATTGGTATCAGTGGGAGGAATAGTGTCCCATCATTGGTGTCAGTGGGAGGAATAGTGCCCCATCATTGGTGTCAGTGGGAGGAATAGTGCCCCATCATTGGTATCAGTGGGAGGAATAGTGCCCCATCATTGGTATCAGTGGGAGGAATAGTGCCCCATCATTGGTGTCAGTGGGAGGAATAGTGTCCCATCATTGATATCAGTGGGAGGAATAGTGCCCCATCATTGGTATCAGTGGGAGGAACAGTGTCCCATCATTGGTGTCAGTGGGAGGAACAGTGCCCCATCATTGGTATCAGTGAGAGGAGTAGTGTCCCATCTTTGGTATCAGTGGGAGGAATAGTGCCCCATCATTGGTGTCAGTGGGAGGAATAGTGCCCCATCATTGGTGTCAGTGGGAGGAATAGTGTCCCATCTTTGGTATCAGTGGGAGGAATAGTGCCCCATCATTGGTGTCAGTGAGAGGAGTAGTGTCCCATCTTTGGTATCAGTGGGAGGAATAGTGCCCCATCATTGGTGTCAGTGGGAGGAATAGTGCCCCATCATTGGTGTCAGTGGGAGGAATAGTGTCCCATCTTTGGTATCAGTGGGAGGAATAGTGCCCCATCATTGGTGTCAGTGGGGGGGGGGGGGGGGGGGATAGTGCCCCATCGTTGATCGTTGGTGTCAGTGGGGGAGGAATAGTTCCCTATCGTTGGTGTCAGTGGGGGGAGGAAATAGTGCCCCATCATTGATACTAGTGTGGGGGGTAATTGTGCCCCATCTTTGTTGTCAGTGGGGGGAGGAATAGTTCCCTATCGTTGGTGTCAGGGGGGGAGGAAATAGTGCCCCATCATTGATGTCAGTGGGAGGAATAGTGCCCCATCACTGATATTAGTGACACCAATGATGGGGCACTATTCTTCCCACTGACACCAATGATACTTACCTTGCTGACTCCTGCTCCAGCCTGGGCTCGCTCCCTCCCTCTCCCATCTACAGCCAGCATACCTGGCTGCAGCAGCTACAGACACTTACCTGTCAGCTGTCTTCCTTCTCCGGCCGCTCCCTCGCTCGATCTTCTTTGATCTTCGTGCTGCTGCTTAGCTCCTCCTCCTCGCTGGTGATTGGCCGCCTGTGTGCCTCTCCTGAGCTACAGTTCCAGCGGCCAATCACTGGCGAGGAGGCGGAGCTGTTGAGTGATCCCGGAGATGTGGCCAGATGACAGGGGCGGCATGTCATCCCGCACACACATCGCGGTCAAGGGAAATGTGGACGTATCTGCATGTGGGCGGATCCGCCTGGAGACGGATAGAGGAGCGGTGTCTCGGTTCCTAAGACCATCGGAAATATGTGTTTTCCGATGGTCTTAGGAGACCCCTGTGAAAGGGTTGTTCGACCCCCAAAGGGGTTGCGACCCACAGGTTGAGAGAACCGCTGATCTAGACAAACATTTATACTATGAAAAAAAAGGGAAAAAACAGCGCAAACATAGACCTTTACATGAAATCAATATTACAAAGTGCAAACATAAGTGAAAAATTAATCAGTGGTAAAGTCCATCAAAATAAACCAAAGTTCAAAAAATATTAGTGCAAAAAAGAAAAAGAAAAAAAAAAAAATATTTTCAAATTCTTCTTCTAATATAGAGGAACTTCCACCTTCCACCCGTGAAAACCAATATCAAATGCACTCACCAGATAAAGGTGAAAAAAAAAACGCCTCTTAGGAATTTTAAGGGATCCTACACCCTCTTTCGTATCCACTCTATAGGAATCCTCCTCTCCACCATAGGCTCCACCATCCGACCAGGGAGAAAAAAATCTCAGATAGTGTAATATTGTAAGACACCATTCATAAGTGAAATCAAGGATTAAGGTCACTCACATTCAATTCAATTAAAAAGGCATATTTATTAGGATCAGCTTCTTCCAGATAAACAGTAGATGCAAGGCAACCTCCCACGGAATCTCACATCACAGCTCCAGGTTTCAGCAGAAGCTCTACAGAGACACCGCATATACAGATCCCAAAAGATGGCCGCTGGAACGCACCGCTCAGCGTGCGCTCCACTCACCGGAAGTGACGTCAGACGTACGGAGTACAAACCGGAAATGCGTCAACGCGTTTCGCCCCTCCCATCGGGCGTTCTCGAGAACGCCCGATGGGAGGGGCGAAACGCGTTGACGCATTTCCGGTTTGTACTCCGTACGTCTGACGTCACTTCCGGTGAGTGGAGCGCACGCTGAGCGGTGCGTTCCAGCGGCCATCTTTTGGGATCTGTATATGCGGTGTCTCTGTAGAGCTTCTGCTGAAACCTGGAGCTGTGATGTGAGATTCCGTGGGAGGTTGCCTTGCATCTACTGTTTATCTGGAAGAAGCTGATCCTAATAAATATGCCTTTTTAATTGAATTGAATGTGAGTGACCTTAATCCTTGATTTCACTTATGAATGGTGTCTTACAATATTACACTATCTGAGATTTTTTTCTCCCTGGTCGGATGGTGGAGCCTATGGTGGAGAGGAGGATTCCTATAGAGTGGATACGAAAGAGGGTGTAGGATCCCTTAAAATTCCTAAGAGGCGTTTTTTTCACCTTTATCTGGTGAGTGCATTTGATATTGGTTTTCACGGGTGGAAGGTGGAAGTTCCTCTATATTAGAAGAAGAATTTGAAAATATTTTTTCTTTTTTTCTTTTTCTTTTTTGCACTAATATTTTTTGAACTTTGGTTTATTTTGATGGACTTTACCACTGATTAATTTTTCACTTATGTTTGCACTTTGTAATATTGATTTCATGTAAAGGTCTATGTTTGCGCTGTTTTTTCCCTTTTTTTTCATTGTTTGTGTTGATCACAGTGCACAGCAGCAGGATAGAACCTGTATTAGAGTGTTTTACTAGGCGCAGGAAGAATTTTTAGTTTTTAAACATTTATACTAACCCTCTTGTATTGAACTGTATTGTTGCTGTATTGTCTCCCGTTATATTGTAAAGTGCTGAGCAAACTGTTGGCGCTATATAAATCCTGTATAGAAATAATACCACACACAGTATGTAAAAGGGTTAAAAAAAACAGTCCCATAGAAAACGAAATATATGCATTTTAATACAGATAATTTTTTCATGAAGAATGTAATTTGGGTGGCTGTTGTATAGAATTAGAAAGTTAAAATAATGGAAAACTGAAACAAAACCGTTTTGGTAACTAGGTGGTTAAAGTGCAAGTTCTCCATAGAGATGAAATATCTTGTCATCAGTCTGCCCTCTAGAGGGTGAAAAACAAGCATGTAGGATGACCTCTAAAATGACTTCACCTTCTAGGACTACCTTGTGAATCTCAGTTGTGGTACGCCCCCTACAGGCCAGAGCAATTTTTACATTTCTGCTACGGGCCGGTTTATCCTGCAATAACTTTGTCATTCCTTAACCACTTATTATTATACAGGATTTATATATTATTATTATTATTATTATTATTATACAGGATTTATATATTATTATTATTATACAGGATTTATATATTATTATTATTATTATTATTATTATACAGGATTTATATATTATTATTATACAGGATTTATATATTATTATTATTATTATTATACAGGATTTATATATTATTATTATTATACAGGATTTATATATTATTATTATTATATAGGATTTATATGGCGCCAACAGTTTGCTCAGCGCTTTACAATATAACGGGAGACAATACAGGAACAATACAGTTCAATACAAGAGGGATAGGAGGGCCCTGATCCTGGGAGCTTACAATCCCCCCTTCCTGACCAGGCCATTTTTTGCGATACGGCGCTGCGTTACTTAAACTGACAATTGCGCGGTCATGCAACTCTGCACCCAAATTAAATTTATGTCCTTTTTTTTTCCCCCACAAACGGAGCTTTCTTTCGGAGGTATTTGATCGCCTGTGCATTTATTTTTTGCGCTAGAAAACAAAAAAATGACAATTTTGAAAAAAATATATATATATTTTTGACTTTTGCTATAAAACATATCCAGTAAAAAAAAAAAAAAATCAAATTTCGTCATAAACTTAGGCCAAAATGTATTCTGCTCCATGTCTTTGCTAAATAGAAAAACCCAATACGTGTAAATTAATTGATTTACGTGAAAGTTATAGCGTCTACAAATGGCGGTATAGATACTGGAATTTTTTTTAATACTAGTAATGGCAGCTATCAGCGACTTATAGCGGGACTGCGGCAGGCATTCTGACACTGGGGGAGAACTGACTAACTGCCACTGACATCCCCAGTGACACTAATACAGTGATCGGTGCTAATAAAAACCATTAACACTGTACTGACACTGGGCAGGAAGGGGTTAACATGAGTGATCAAAGGGTTAACTGTGTGCTGTTTTACAATTTTTTTCTCTGTGTGCTTTACTGTGTAAGCACGCTGCTTTGTATTGCTCTGCTGTTTTTGTTTTGTTTTTTTACTTATGACATTGAGTTCGGAGAGAAGATTCCCAGCTAGCTGTCACTAGATGTGGTGGGTCGGCAGTGGTTGCAGCAGTGGGAACATGGTACACGTTCCACCCTAAAAACAGGTGAACTTATCCTTTAACGCTAAACTTCAGCCACTTCACTTATAGGATGTCAGCATATTTTACAAAGAGCAACAAGTGGCATGCCACCTCATTAATTTATTTCATTTATTACAGGTACTTATATAGCATCGTCAATTTACACAGATAGATATGCAGGGCAGCACAGTGGCTAAATGGTTAGCACATCCACCTAGCAGTACTAGGGTCATTGATTCGAATCCCAACCACAGCACCTGGAGTTTGCATGTTCTCTTTGTGCCTGTGTGGGTTTCCTCCAGGTAATCTGGTTTCCTCTCACACTCCAAAGACATGCTGGTAGGTTGATTGGCTCCTGTCTAAATTGTCCCTAGTAAGTGTATGTATGAATGTAAGTTAGAAAACTTAGATTGTACGCCCCTTGAGGGTTAGGGACTGATGTGAATGTACAATATATATGTAAAGTGCTGCGTAAATTGACAACACGATATAAGTACCATACCCTATGTACAGCACAGTGGCTAAATGGTTAGCACTTCCCCTTGGCAGCACTCGGGTCGTTGGTTCATCCCAGCCACGGTACCACCTGCCTGGAGTTTGCATGTTCTCCCTGTGCCTGTGTGGGTTTCCTCCGGGTACTCTGGTTTCCTCCGACGCTCCAAAGACATGCTGGTAGGTTAATTGGCTCCTGTGTAAATTGTCCCTAGTATGTGTATGTATGAATGTGAGTTAGGGGCCTTAGATTGTACACCCCTTGAGGGTTAGGGACTGATGTGAATGTATAATATATATGTAAAACTCCCAGAAGTTTTGTAGAATTTTTTGTAGAATTTTGTAGCTCTTCAAATGCAAAAACTGGCAGCCCAGTAGAACGCAGGCATTTATATTTTCCTGTATATGGAATGTTTCACTTTACATTTTAACTATAGTCAACTTTAGAAAAGTCCTCTCCTTTCCTCTCAGCCCAAAAGCTAGAGCAATTTGATAATAAAAAAAAAAAAAAATCCACAACGTGCTGAATAGCAAATTGTATTTATGAAGATATTTAATTTTAGTTAATGCTTTAACTTCAGTTTCTTCAATTAGGGCCTTTTCACACAGGTGGACTGCGCTGATCCCCACTGAGAAGGCGGATGACAGGCCCATGTCTGCTCCGCTTGTACAAAGCAGACATGGAACACAGCCCGCTGTTCTCTTTGGGGCGGTTGGATGTAAACATTTAAATCTGACTGTCATGCGATCCAATCGGCTACATGGATATCCCCATCCATCTGTTTATGGTGGACCAAATCGAAGCGGATGCAGGCGGGTGTAAACGGACACATCTGTTTACATCGGTTTCCCCATAGAGAGCCATAGGTGATTCGATCGGTCTGTCTGCATGAAAGGGGCCTTAAGCTTTGACAATAAAACCTGGAAGCGGATTGGTTTCTATGCAGGGCTAGAACGGATTTTGCACCATTCATTTTCAGTAAATCCCCTCCAGTATCTGCCACCTTCTACATAAACATAATGGTGTACAAAAAGGCAAAAACGCAGAACTGTGCAGCTTTAGGATTTCAGAAAAACAACCCAATGAAGGTACAAGCAAATTCAGCACTGTTGCCAAAGTTGCCCATGCACTGATCAATGAATTGACAGCACTTACCTAGTAGGGGTCACAGTTGCTCGTACCCGTTTAAAGCCTTCGTGGTCCTCTGTAATTCTGCAAAAGAAAATGCCAGTGTTAGCAAAAACATAAAGCAATGTAATTGTGGAAGAGGCTCTGAAAGAATCAGAAAAGAAAAATACATAGTACTATGGGTAACAAAAAAAAGGTAGGTCTGACCACACCTTATAGCAGGGTTTCTCAACTAGGGTTCCTCCAGAGGTTGCTAGGGGTACCTTGGGTGATGAGCAATTTCTGCCTCTCAGATAAGTTCCCACTGACGCCACTGATTTTTCCAATGACCACTAGTGGAAGGCCTGGTTCACACCTATGCGTTTTTTTTTTTTGTGCATTTTGTGGGAAACTGCACTACATTCCATTTAACATGGTTTCCTATGAGACACATTTATATCTCTGCATTTTTTGAAAGGGTCAGGGACTTTTTCTAAACTGCAAAACAGTGCATTTTTGGTTCAACATATGTCAATGCAGAAACCGCATGTAGTGAGTTTATGATGCATTTTGTGTTTTTAAGATGCCCAGCAACAAGTTGGCCAAAAACAAAAAAAAAAGCAGAAAAACACAAAACGCATCTAAAAACATGTGCAAAAATCAACTGCAAAAAAAGCAGAAATGGATCAAATGCAAACTGCATAGGTGTGAACCAGGCCTAAAGAGCATTCTTCCCACTGACTATCACACCAATGTATCATGAGTTGTAGATAGAGTCATTTTGTGTTGAAAAGTTTGAGAAAGGCTGCTCTAGAACAGGGTTTCTCAACCTTTTTTCAGTCAAGGCACCCTTTAAAATTATGGGCAGTCTTGAGGCACCCTTTAAAATTATGGACAGTCTGGAGGCACCCTTTAAAATTATGGACAGTCTGGAGGCACCCTTTAAAATTATGGACAGTCTGGAGGCACCCTTTAAAATTATGGACAGTCTGGAGGCACCCTTTAAAATTATAGACAGTCTGGAGGCACCCTTTAAAATTATGGACAGTCTGGAGGCACCCTTAAAAATTTTGGACAGTCTGGAGGCACCCTTTATAATAATGGACAGTCCTGAGGCACCCTTCATAACAATGGACAGTCTTGAGGCACCCTTTATAATAATGGACAGTCCCTGAGGCACCCTTTATAATAATGGACAGTCCTGAGGCACCCTTTATAATAATGGACAGTCCTGAGGCACCCTTTATAATAATGGACAGTCTTGAGGCACCCTTTATAGTTATGGACAGTCTTGGCACCCTTTATAATAATGGACATTCCTGAGGCACCCTTTATAGTTATGGACATTCCTGAGGCACCCTTTATAGTTATGGGCAGTCTTGAGGCACCCTTTATAATAATGGACAGTCTTGAGGCACCCTTTATAATAATGGACAGTCCTGAGGCACCCCATTCTAAAATGTGAAAAACTATTCTATTAGTTTTATATAACGCAGCAACATCCACACATGTAGGACACCCCACATTAGAGGGGATTTATTCTTCCAAAGCAAATACACTTTTGCACACTGCTACTGACTAGTATTCCCATGTTTCTCTTCTCCCTCAGTTTTTCTCCATCACTGAGCTAATGTGACCCCAGCACTGACAGGGAGGGGCAGGGGAGGATCAAATCTTCATCAACTGATGATATCATTGGTTGTCAGGACGCCGGAGCTAATGTGACCCCAGCACTGACAGGGAGGGGCAGGGGAGGGTCAAATCTTCATCAACTGATGATGTCATTGGTTGTCAGGACGCCGGAGCTAATGTGACCCCAGCACTGACAGGGAGGGGCAGGGGAGAGTCAAATCCTCATCAACTGATGATGTCATTGGTTGTCAGGACGCCGGTGGCTAGTAGGTTGTAATGGTGCACAATGAAAACCTGTGGCTTTGTGTAACTAAAAGGCAGGCAAGTTTTGGGCAATTTCTAAAAAGCAATTCGGTTGGCAATGGCTCAAACTGTCTCAATAAGACATGGCCTGATTGGGGTGCAGTCAAAAACAGCGTCCCAGAGAGCCCATCATTTCTAAACCCTCACTGGTGAGACTTGGAAGCCTCCAGAAGTGAGTAATGCAGAGCTGCCTACATGTTATAATGGTAGCATGCTGTACAAAGAGGGCACCAATTTCTCCCCCCCCCCCCAACCATTTGTCCCATTTGTTTTGATGGCCGCACTGAAAACTAGGAGGAGGAAATAGGCAATTACAATAGCAACTAATCAGATCCTTCTAATCTCCAATTTGCTATGCTGCATTAAAAAGAGTGGAATCAGGGTCTTTGCTGCTGCTATAGGCAACAGGACCCCCTGCCCCCCACTCCATCCATGCCCCTTATCTTATGCAATCAGATGACAGATCTGCCATGAATGCCTCGCATACCCGACTGGCACAGACAAGCCAATGGAGAAAGATATTGACTTTAAAAGGACTTGTAATTCCTTAACCGCATCTTGCTAAACAGAATGAAAAGCTTGTTTCCTGCTGTCTGCACTTTATTACTGGCACGGCCAGACAGTCATCGTGTGTTCCTGCAGCTCTTTATGGACATACCAGTTTAAAGTATACTATATGGAGTGTATATGGGGGGGGGGGGGGGGGTCTGCTAAATACATCTCTGAGTCTGCTACCTTTCATTCAGCTGTGGCACGACAATCAGCAGTGCAATATATGGAATCATAGAGGAAGAAACGTAGGCAATTATTATTATTTCACATTACAGTACTTTCATAAAGCGCCAATAGTTCGCTCAGCGCTGTACATTACAAAGGGGGGACAGAACATGTGACAGAAAATACCAATACAATGCAAAACATGAGGGGATCGAGGGCCCTGCTCTTTGGGAGCTTACATCTAGGACCTGGGGGTGGTGGTACAGGAGGAGATAGCTGTGGGGGGATGGAGTGGTAGGAAGAGTGGAGGAGGTCGGCAGGTTAGCAGGGGGTGGGGTAGGCTTCCCTGAAGAGGTGGGTTTTCAGGGTGCGCCTAAAGGAGAGGAGAGTAGGTGATAATCTGATGGGTTGGGGCAGGGAGTTCCAGAGGATGGGTGACACCCTGGAGAAGTCCTGGAGGCGGGCATGGGAGGAGGAGACCAGGGAACTAGAGAGAAGGAGGTCTTGTGAGGAGCGGAGTGTGCGTGTTGGGCTGGGTACTTGGATATTAGGTCAGTGATGTAGTTCGATGGCAGTATGGTGGACGGCTTTGTACGTCAGTGTTAGGATTTTGAATTTGATCCGTTGCGCAATCGGAAGCCAGTGGAGGGATTGGCAGGAGGGGGGTGGCGGAAACAGAGCGGTTGGAAAGGTGAATGATCTGGCAGCCGTATTCAGGATGGACTGAAGGGGGATAGCCAGCGGCGAGGCAGGCCAGTGAGGCTGGGAGTTGCAGTAGTCGAGTCCGTGATATGATGAGGGAGTGGATGAGCTGAAATTTAGTGGTTTCTGTAGTCCTGCAACTGGGTTAGGAACGTGCGGATTTTGGCGATGTTGCGGAGGTGGAGTCTGCACGAGTTTGTTAAAGATTGGACTTGGTGTCATTCTGGACTCCAACCTATCCTTCCAGCCCCAAGTACTCTGGCCTGGCAGGTTTGATGGTGGCGTTGTTGGATGTGATGGAGAAGTCAATGGACATAGATTTCACGTTACATACTTTCACATGGCAAAATATTAAGCAGGGAAATGCACAGGATCTGTAGGTGATGGCAAACTGGAGTGCTGGGAACACTGTATGCAAAGCCTAGGATTCTGCAGGGCAAGTGAAGGTGGCCGCCATGATGACAGCCGTGACATGCCACACCTTCAGTGCATCTTATGGTGAAGTCTGGTATTAAAACACAAATCATACAGATACAGCAGGACTCGAGGTTTTGACAGCGGAGAAAAAAAAAAAACAAGCACACTACAGAACAATCACTAGTATAGTTTAATAATCACACTGATAGGTTTTATGTGTATTGTACTGCGTCTGGAACCACATTCTCCTCTTCAATAATTTATATATGTTCAGATGCTACAACTAGCAAGGATGATACAAATATAGACTATGGATCGGTACAGTTTCCATAAATGGACATAATTAGAGAAAATTAAATCAGCTGCTGCGGAAACATTGGAGATATTTCTGCTCAGTAATTGGGAAGTGCTCAATAGATGGAAAAAGAGAGGAAAAGGGACTGCATTAGATGAGCAGTTATATATCACTGTATAATGCCAGCAACACTTGGGATATATGAGACTTAAATCCATATCTGTATATTCAAGACTTACCATTCATTTAAAGTAAAGCAATGTTAAAGTGTTACCTAACCCTGGACCCTGCACTCCCTATATCCGGCCTCCCCGGACCGTGCACTCCCTATATCCGGCCTCCCCGGACCGTGCACTCCCTATATCCGGCCTCCCCGGACCGTGCACTCCCTATATCCGGCCTCCCCGGACCCTGCACTCCCTATATCCGGCCTCCCCGGACCGTGCACTCCCTATATCCGGCCTCCCCGGACCCTGCACTCCCTATATCCGGCCTCCCCGGACCCTGCACTCCCTATATCCGGCCTCCCCGGACCGTGCACTCCCTATATCCGGCCTCCCCGGACCGTGCACTCCCTATATCCGGCCTCCCCGGACCGTGCACTCCCTATATCCGGCCTCCCCGGACCGTGCACTCCCTATATCCGGCCTGTGCACTCCCTATATCCGGCCTCCCCGGACCGTGCACTCCCTATATCCGGCCTCCCCGGACCCCGCACTCCCTATATCCGGCCTCCCCGGACCCCGCACTCCCTATATCCGGCCTCCCCGGACCCCGCACTCCCTATATCCGGCCTCCCCGGACCCCGCACTCCCTATATCCGGCCTCCCCGGACCCCGCACTCCCTATATCCGGCCTCCCCGGACCCCGCACTCCCTATATCCGGCCTCCCCGGACCCCGCACTCCCTATATCCGGCCTCCCCGGACCCCGCACTCCCTATATCCGGCCTCCCCGGACCCCGCACTCCCTATATCCGGCCTCCCCGGACCCCGCACTCCCTATATCCGGCCTCCCCGGACCCCGCACTCCCTATATCCGGCCTCCCCGGACCCCGCACTCCCTATATCCGGCCTCCCCGGACCCCGCACTCCCTATATCCGCTCTCCCCGGACCCCGCACTCCCTATATCCGCTCTCCCCGGACCCCGCACTCCCTATATCCGCTCTCCCCGGACCCCGCACTCCCTATATCCGCTCTCCCCGGACCCTGCACTCCCTATATCACCTCTCCCCGGACCCTGCACTTCCTATATCCGCTCTCCCCGGACCCTGCATTTCCTATATCTGGTCTCCCCGGACCCTGCACTCCCTATATCCGGCCTCCCCGGACCCTGCACTCCCTATATCCGGTCTCCCGGACCCTGCACTCCCTATATCCGCTCTCCCCGGACCCTGCACTTCCTATATCCGCTCTCCCCGGACCCTGCATTCACTATATCTGGTCTCCCCGGACCCTGCACTTCCTATATCCGCTCTCCCTGGACCCTGCACTCCTTATATCCACTCTCCCCGGACCCTGCATTCACTATATCTGGTCTCCCCGGACCCTGTATTCACTATATCTGGTCTACTACAGTAAATACTACATGGAAATGCAATTATTTTAGTAAATATAAATTGCCAAACACCTTTTCTCATCAGCAGTTAGAGCAGTCTTGTGACTTCTATCAGTGTCCAGCCGAGCACTGGTTAAAGCCTGTAGGAGGAGATTTCATTCTCCCCTATGAGGCTGCAGGACCCCTGACCTCAGTCTGGACAGTGCTGATTGGCACTGTGCTGATCACATGCATGCTCCCAAGAAAAAGGAGAAAAAAAAAACCTATAGCAATAAACACTAAACTGAGCATGTGCAGCTTACCCTCAAGGCTCTGTTTTATCAGCAGATGGAATGGGGATAGTGGAGGAAGGGGAGGATCAGAAAAGTCAGGATCAAAAAGCCTTTTTCACACAATGCAGAGTATTAACCCCTTAGGTTCCACAGTGAGTATAACAAGCATGCTTTACTGCATATACAGACTGATTGTACTGTTGTGGGTTTAGTAACACTTTAAAGCCCAACTGAAGTTCCGCTGTAACACACAGTGAGCAGGCAGGTTATGATTGCAGAAAAGACATGAAACATCTCAATAAAATGCTTCGACCTGCCTGTTCGCAATCTTCCTCAGTGCTGTAAACAGAGTTGCACATGCGCAGCTTACGTCACAGTGCCAGGCCAGTCTCTGTTTGCCCGAATGATGGCCTCCTGGGTACAGGAGTAACGTCATCCCGCACCAGCTAATAGAAAGCCGATGACTGGCACACAGGAGAAGATGCCAGTTCTGGTGAGGGAGCTTTGGAAAGGTGAGCATTAACTCCTTTAGTTGCACTTTAGTATGGTGATTGGCAGGACATTCACATAAATGGGCTGCCATTGCGACCAAAAGCCAAACCTGCACCATTTTTTTCCCCCCAACACAGCACACCAAAAACACAATGGGGTGGAATTACTAAAGACAAATAGACCGTGCATTTTGCTGTTGCGCTCTGCAATGGAATTTGCTCCAGAGCTTAGTAAATGCAATGAAAGTGGTTGTAAAGGCCAAAAGTTTTTTTACCTTCTGTGTGCTGCTCCCCCTCTCAGCCCCCCGAATACTTACCTGAGCCCCACTTTGATCTAGAGATGTGCACAACAGCCTCTGCTGTCCCAGTACTCCCTCTCCTCATTGGCTGAGACAGCAGCGGGGAGTGGAGCTGAGGCTCTGTGTGTTTTATGATAGCACAGAGCTGGGCTCAGGAGCGAGCATGCACCAATGCCCCACAGCAAACGGCTCGGTATTGGGGGCACTGGTGAATAGGGAGGATCCAGCAGCACCGGCAGGGGATCCGAGAAGAAGATGATTGGGGCTGCTCTGTGCAAATCCACTGCAGAGAACAGGCAAGTATAACATGCTTTTTTTTTTCTTTTTTAAATAACAAACACCGAACCTTTAATGCCACTTGAAACGTCACTTTACAAAGATCATCTAAAGACATGCAAGGGGAAACAAAACCCCAAAAAAACCAAAAAAGTGTTTTTGCTTGCACATGATTGGACAATGAAATTCAGCAGAGCTTCCCCTAATTTACAAAGCTCTGGAGCAACTGCACTTGCAAATTGCACAGTCTATTCGCCTTAAAGCGGCGTTCCACTCACCCTGTCAAAAAATAAAAGTCAGCAGCTACAAAAACAGCCACTTACCTGTCCCTGTGTCCCCCGCAGCTCGTTCCACCAGCCGTCCTGTATTCCAGGAGGCCGGCATCTTCAGTGTGGGAACCCAGCTTGCGGCTTCATCGCCGGGTACCCACTGCGCATGCGCGAGTAGCGGTGTGCTTCCTGAATGGCCCTGTAGTCTCCTGGGACCTGTCACGTGTCCCACAAGACTTTGGGGAGGGAGGTTAGGACGACAACTTCTGCTTCCGATCACCTAGGAGATAGCAGCGGAAGTGGGAGTGGAGACCTGTTAAATTCAGGTACCTGTTCCTCCCCGCTCCCAAAAGGTGCCAATCCTTAATGGGCAGCGGGGGAACAGTCCTTAAAGTAGAACTTCCCCTTTTGGGTGGAACTCCGCTTTAAGTAAATCAACCTCAATACGTGTGATGGGCTCCAACACTGGAACTGAATGAATGCTTTCAGATGCCATTTAAAATGAATGGCACCACGTTATCACAAAACACAGAACTGAAAGTTGCCACCTCATCTCTTGAAGGCCCTTGCACATGGGGTGGACTCTGCTGGGAATCCACTTGCTGAGCGGGGAATCTGTCCACTAAGTAAGCGGATGGCTGGTCCATGTGCCCTACGCTGATGCAGAGCAGACACTGACACAACGAACTGTCCTCTATGAACGATCGAATGTAAATGGAACACCTCTCCATTTACATCTATCTGATCCAATCAACAGATGGAAAAACGGATCCCCATCTGTGGATAGGATCAGGTCAGATGTAGGTGGGTGTAAACAGACAAGTACGTTTACATCCGCTGCACCATACAGGATAATGGAGGGTCGGATTGGGCCCACCTAAAAAGCATACAGGCGGACCAGATTGGTCTGCCCATGTAAAAAGGGGTCTAAAACCAAACATATTAATTACACAGGTTCTGTGACTGATTAAGGTGCTAATTAAATTCACGTACCACCGGTTCACATCTATGCAGCCGTGCGGGTCGCGTTTTGCACAGGCACGAGAGCCCATTCATTTGAATGGACCCCCATGCCACACAGGGAAAGAAGTCCCTGCACTTCTTTGGAAAACGCAGCCCGCATGGGAACCTTGGTTCCCAGTACGGTTGCATTTTCCAGTCCGGGCGGCGTGCCATTATAACTAATGGCACCCGCCCACGGGTCCGCATTTCTCTGTGTGGGTGGTGCGGCTGCACGGATTTTCATGCGGATCCGCAGTGGCACCACCCGCGCAGATGTGAACCTAGGGTGAGTGTCTAATGTGCATCACATTAGCCTCAGGACCTGTGAAATTATGTTTTCTGTTTTAAAGGGATGAGGTGGGAACGTATGACCTTCACTGGAAACGCCTAAACTCAGTAGTTTGATGGGGTGTTGGCGTAGTTTTGGTCATACAGCGCAGGTGGAATGATCGCGTGTCCACAACTTTTGACCATATAGCCTACAGTGATATGAACCTTATGAAGGCTTCTCATACACAGGAATTGTTTCTGTGTGTTGGACGTGAAATGCACATCTACTGCAGATTCCCACTGGACAGTTCTGAGGCTGCATTCGACCCGCTTCAAGCATTTAAAGCACAGGTGTCAAACTGCGGCCCTCCAGCTGTTGAGTAACTACAAATCCCATCATGCCTCTGCATTTGGGAGTCATACTTTTAACGGTCAGCCTTGCAATAACTCATGGGATTTGTTGTTCCTCAACAGCTGGAGGACCACAGTTTGAAATCCCTGATTTAAAGGATAAGTTCACCTTTGGGAACATGTTACATCCATTTTTGGGGTGGAACAGGCAACATGTCTCCATAGCCACAGCCGAATCTGCCGCTCCCCCCGACAGATGGTACAGAAGATTTCCCGTACTGTCAGATTTGAAAACTGCATGGCCGTGCAGAGTTCCGCCCACAAGGCCGCATAACTCAATTCAGTGTTCTGTGAATGAATGCCTACAACTCCCGGCAGCCTTAGCAGCAGTCGGCTTGTAGTTTTCAATGAACTGCCACGGCGCTGTGGAGCGTGGTGGTAGTTCAATGAAGCTTCATGTCAATATATCTGCTTACTTGTACATCTAATACAGGCAAGCAGATATACTGACAGGTCTGCCGGAGACCTGCATGGCATGAATCTACTGATCGCTGCTGAGATGCTTTCCAGGTTCCTTTGAACAAAAATAATAAATGCACATTTTTTTTACCTGCAAAAAATGTGCATTTATTATTTTTGTCCAAAAGGTGAACTTATCCTTTAATTTCTTGGTGCAGAAATGTTTTTTCCCTCACAAGGTCTCTAAAAAAAGAAGATTACAAGTTTTGAACCTTTGTTCAAAGGATCTTAATAATCAGCTGCACTGACATGGATGGCCATGAATGAAGGGGTGAAGAGAAGTCAACGAAGCAAAGTCATGACAGTTGGAAGTATGAAGGGGTGAAGAGAAGTCAACGAAGCAAAGTCGAGACAGTTGGAAGTATGAAGGGGTGAAGAGAAATCAACAAAGCAAAGTCATGACAGTTGCAAGTATGAAGGGGTGAAGAGAAGACAACGAAACAAAGTCATGACAGTTGCAAGTATGAAGGGGTGAAGAGAAGTCAACAAAGCAAAGTCATGACAGTTGCAAGTATGAAGGCGTGAAGAGAAGTCAAGGAAGCAAAGTCATGACAGTTGGAAGTATGAAGGGGTGAAGAGAAGTCAAGGAAGCAAAGCCAAGACAGTTGGAAGTATGAAGGGGTGAAAAGAAGTCAACGAAGCAAAGTCAAGACAGTTCGAAGTATGAAGGGGGTGAAGAGAAGTCAAGGAAGCAAAGTCATGACAGTTGGAAGTATGAAGGGGTGAAAAGAAGTCAAACGAAGCAAAGTCATGACAGTTGGAAGTATGAAGGGGTGAAGAGAAGTCAAGGAAGCAAAGCCAAGACAGTTTGAAGTATGAAGGGGTGAAGAGAAGTCAATGAAGCAAAGTCATGACAGTTGGAAGTATGAAGGGGTGAAGAGAAGTCAATGAAGCAAAGTCGAGACAGTTGGAAGTATGAAGGGGTGAAGAGAAGTCAAGGAAGCAAAGTCATGACAGTTGGA